TATAATGTATATATATATAATGTATATATATAATGTATATATATATATTCATATATATATAAATATATATTTACACAGACGGCATTATATGCGAATTTGTTTGCCTATAATTTGTTTGTATAGGGACATATTATATAGCTTGCATGCATAGAAATATATAATATAATTTGTTCGCATAGAAATATATAATATAATTTGTTTATATATAAATAGACAGCATAGTATTTTGTATGAAGTGGGTGTGTGTTATTATATTAAAGGTTTTATATATTGTAGAGTATATCTTTATTTCTTTTACTGTCTCTTTCTTTATTTAAAAGTGTACATATCTGTCTCCTTCTTTGTTTGTTTATGTGTCTCCTTTCAGCTAGCAAGAGAGCGCAGCCTGCTGCTGCATGCATTGCTAGCTATGTGCAGCAGCATTACTTTTGTTTTAATTCGAGAGGGTCATCGATATATAAATGAAGACAGCGAAGAGGCCTTTCTCTTTAAAGAACAAATAAGTAATGTGCTGCAGCATCTATCTGCATGCAGCCATATTCACCCCGCTATAGAGACTGCGAGAAGAGAGCTTGAAGAAGCTCTTAGGTCGCTGCTGCAACAGCAGCAGAAGCAGCAGCAGCAGAAGCAGCAGCAGCAGCAGCAGAAGCAGCAGCAGCAGCAGAAGCAGCAGCAGCAGAAGCAGCAGCAGCAGAAGCAGCAGAAGGCGGATCTACGAACCTTCCGGCCTTCTGGTGGGCTGCTGCTGCGGGGGGCCCCCCGCAGCAGCAGCAAAGGCGAAGAGGAGACAGAGAGAAGGAAGCGGGTAGAGTTTGTGCCTCCTGAGGCGCATGCACGCAGCAGCAGCAGCAGCAGCAGCAGGGGGGTGTCTCCAAGTTCGTGCTTGCTGAGTAGAAGCCTAGTGAGAGCCCCTGCAACTCGGCTTGAAATGAACGCGATGCAGCAGAGCGGCGGCAGCAGCAGCAGCAGCAGCAGCAGCAGCTGTCTCCGCCGGCCTTCTTTAAATATGCATGACGGCGCCGTCCTCAGCAAAGAGAGACACCTCCTCTTTACTGTATGCAGAGCCACAAACAACTACTAACAACCCCACCCAATCACCACCCCCCTACACACACAGGCACTGCATGCATGCATGCATGCATGCATGCATGCATGCATGCAAACAAGTAGTGATTGGTGCATTTGAAAGGATTCTGGTGAGGGTGAAGAAGAGAAAACGAGAAAGAAAGTAAATAAATAAATAGAGAGATAGATAGATATATAAATAAATAAATAAATAAATAAATAAATGTCTTTGTGCTGCTCAGGCGGCGCCAATCGCTCTTCATGTGAGACAGGCCCACGCCGACACCCGTAAGTGCTGCTGCAGTTGCTGCTGCTGCAGTTGCTGCTGCTGCAGTTGCTGCTGCTACAGTTGCTGCTGCTACAGTTGCTGCTGCTGTAGTTATTGCTGCTGCAGTTGTTGCTACTTTGGCTGCATCTGCTGCTTCTGCTGCTCATGCTACTGCAGCAACTGCTGCTGCAGCAGTAACTGCTGCATGTGCCGCTGCAGTTGCTGCTGCTGCTCTTGCTGCTGCTGCAGTTGTTGCTGGTGCAGCATCAGGAATGTAGCTGAAGCAGCAGCAGCGAGCAGCAGAATGTGTGTGTTGCTTCAGCAGAAGACGAGGAGACAGCAAGAAAGGCTGCTGTCTCTAAGCAGCAGAGTTTGCTGCAGCGGAGGGCTTATGGGAAGCTAAGCCTTAAAGACGTGGAGGCCCAAGCAGCAGCTGCTGCGATTGCTGCTTCTTCTGTCTCTGCTGCTGCCTCTCCTCAAGGTGCTTATTAGAGACCTTCCTCCTCTATGCATTAGCTCTCAGGGTTGAGGGTTTAGGGTTTGGGGTTTAGGAGTTGTTGGGTTTGGGATCTACTGTTTAGGGTTTAGGGTTTAGGGTTTAGGGTTTAGGGTTTTTGTGTGTTCTTTCTCTCCTCGCCCGACCGTCAATACCAACACCTTACGATTAATTAAACCCCAGACAAATAATACTTCCAACGCTATAGGCTTTAGGGTTTAGGCTCTAGGGTTTAGGGTTTAGGGTTTAGGAACAACATTCATTCGCTTGTCTCCTGCTGTTGATTGCTTAGGTACCCTCGAGGGCCCCCAAGGGCCCCACGGTCCCCAGGGGCCCCAGGGGCCCCACGGGCTCCAGGGGCCCCATGGGCCCCAAGGGCCCCAGGGGCCCCACGGGGCCCACGGGGCCTACGGGGCCTACGGGGCCTACGGAGCCTACGGGGCCCACGGGGGCCCCTTTGGGGGCCCTCTTGGGGGCCCCCCGGGGGCCCATGGGGGGCCCCTCAGGAGGCCCCCTAGTCTCGTTATTTCTCGTTTAAAAGCCATCTCACTGTTACCTCCTAAGGCAGGGGGCGCCTATCGCAGCAAAGCCGGTAGGGCCCATTCTATTAGTATTGCTGCTGCTGCAGCAGTACTCGCACAGCAGCAGCAGCAGCAGCAGCAGTGGTATTAGTAACAGTAGCAGTATTAACAACAGCTAGGGCAGCAGAAGCAGCAGCAATATTTGCAGCAGCGGCGGTCTCAGCAGCAGCATTGGCAGTAACAGCAGCAGTAATAGCACAGCAGCAGCAGCAGCAATACTAGCAGCAGCAACAACAGCAGTACTACCAGCTTTAGCAGCAGACAAGACAGCAGCAGTATTAGCAGGAGCAGCAACAGCGGCAGCAGCACAATTAGCCGCAGCAAGATGCGCAGCAGGAGCAGTATTACCAGCAGAAGCAGGAGCAGCAGCAGCAGCAGCAGCAGTAATAGCAGCAGCAGTAATAGCAGCAGCAGGCGTGTTTTCTGTCTGTTTTGTTTTGCTTCAGGGCCCCCAGATAAGAAGAAGGGGGCCCCCGGTGATATTCTGTCTCTTTCTTCGTCTCTCACAAGGCCTCCAGCTGCCTATACACCTGAAGATAAAGATGCAGCAGCAAAAGCAGCGGCTGAGCACACGTCAACGCCAATCTCAATGCCTTTGCCCGCCCTGCAGCGACAGCAGCAGCAGCAGCAGCAGCAGCAAAAGGGACAGCAGCAGAGCTTGCGGTCGTGTTTGCTGCTGGGTCATGCATCTGGATATGATGCTTCTCCTGCTGCTATTCCTGCGGCCCAGGGTGCTGCCGCTGATGCTGCTGCTGCTGCTGCATCCAAGGCAGCAGCAGCAGCTTCTCTTGAAGGGGGTGTGGGGCTCACCCCCGGTAAGGGCCCTGCAGGTGCCTTTCCTAATATAGAATCCGCTGTAGCCAAAGAGGAAGAGCAGCAGCAGCAGTATCGGCAACAGCAGCTGCAGCTGCAGCAGCAACGGCTGCAGCAACAGCAGCAGCAACAGCAACAGCAGCAACAGCTGCAGCAGCAGGAGCAGCAACAGCAGCAGCAACAGCAGCAGCAGGAACAGCAGCAGCAGCTGCAGCTGCAGCTGGTGCAGCAAGAGCAGCAAAAGCTGCAGCATCTGCAGATGCAGCAAGAGCTGCAGCGGCAGCAACAGGAGCAACAGCAGCAGCAACAGCAGCAACAGCAGCAGCAGCAGCAGCAGCAGCAGCAGCAAATAGAGTGGAAGGCATCTTTCTCGAAGGAGCAAGGGGGCGTCTCCAAGACAGCAGCTGTTGAACGAAAGGAGACAGGGGGGCCTCCCAAAGAGCAGCAAGGAGACAGAGAGACAGAAGGTAGGCAGCTGTCTGCTGTGGGTACACTCGAATTAAAGACAAAGACAGAGGCCCCTCAATTGAATAAGGAGACAGCAGCGAAGGGCCCCCCTGATGCACGCCCTTCTTTAAAAGAGAGAACAAAGTCTAAGGAAGCAGCAAAGCAAACAGTAAGAATTAAGAGATAAATAAACAGCACCGTAGAGACACCCCAGCTAGGGTTTATATATATATATATATATATATATATATATATATGTGCTACGTGTAAATGCATGCGGTTTTTGTTTTAACTTTTGTTTTACTCTGAGTTTGTTTGTCTCCTTCTTTCCCTGTCTCCTTTCTTTCTTGTTTGTTGTTGTTGCATGCTGTTTATTTATTTATCTGTTTGTTTGTTTGTTTGTTTGTTTGTTTGTTTATTTGTTTGTTTGTTTTTTATTTGTTTGTTTGTTTGTTTGTTTATTTGTTTACTTGTTTATTTGTTCGTTTGTTTATTTTCTTAATTTGTTTGCATATTTGTTTATTTGTTTATTTATTTATTCATTTGTTTGTTTGTTTGTTCTCTTTGCTTACTGTTTATTGTTGTTTGAATGGTGTCTCTCTTTGTCTCTGTCTCCTTCCTGCTGTCTGTACATCTTTTTATATATTTAATTATTTTCTTTTGTCTCTGTTTTGCTTGTAGACTTCGCTGCGCCGGGAGGCCGTTGGTGAGGCTGCCTATACACCCCAGAGCTGCAGATACACCGCAAGATTTATACTAGAGATGCGCTTGCTGTCTCCTTTTGCTTCTTCTTTAATGCCCTTACAGGGCTTTCTCCTTGTCTACTTCTTATTAGTCTCTCTGCATGCTCTTCGGGGCCACGTGCCTAGGGTTTAGGGTTTAGGGTTTAGAGTCTAGGGTTTTCGGTTTACGGCTCTATGCGTGTCTTAACTCTTATGTCTCTGCAACTGCACGTGGGCTTGGTGGTTTTAACTGTCTAGGGTTTAGAATTTAGGGTTTAGGGTTTAGGGTTTAGGGTTTAGGGTTTGTGTTTTCTTGCAGATGGGGGCTGCGTGGTGATGTACATATCTCATATAAAGTACGCATCCCTCTCCAACAGCTGTTTTTGCGTTCAGTGTCTAGGGTTTAGGGTTTAGGGTTTAGGGTTTACGGTTTAGGGTTTAGCGTTTAAGGTTAATGTTTTAGCGGTCAGGGTATATGGTTTAGGGTCTTGGGTCTACGGTTTAGGGTTTATGGTTAAAGGCTTAGGGTTTAGGGTTTGTGGTTTGTGGTTTAGGGTTTAGTGTTTAGGGTTTAGTGTTTAGGGTTTGGTGTTTAGGGTTTAGGGTTGGTGGTCTAGGGTTTAGGGTTGGTGGTTTAGTGTTTAGGGTTCAGGGTTTAGTGTTTAGGGTTTAGGGTTTAGGGTTGGTGGTTTAGGGTTTAGGGTTTAGTGTTTAGGGTTTAGGGTTTAGGGTTTGTGGTTTAGGGTTTAGGGTTTAGGGTTTGGGTTGTTGTGTAGGGATTTGAAGGGCGGAGGCACGGAGCCTCGCACTTTCCAAGTTGTGCTGCATTCATCGAATGAAGACCCCATCGCTCTTGTCTGTCTCCTTTTTATTTTTTTGCTGCTGCCGCTGCTGCTGCTGTTTCTGGTTTGCTGCTGCTGCTGCTGCTGCTGTTTCTAGTTTGCTGCTGCTGCTGTGTTGCTGGTGCTGCTGTTGCTTTTGTTGTGCTGCTCCTGCTGTTGGTTTGCTGCTGTTGCTGTCCTTGTATTGCTGCTGTTGTTGTTATACTGTTGCTATTGCTGCTGCTGCTGCTTCTACTACTGTTGCTGCTGCTGCTGTTATTGTTTTGTTGCTGCTGCTACTGCTGCTGTTGACTCTGCTGCTGGATATATTACGTCTCCTCTTATTTCTGCTGCTGTATTTATTATTACTCTTGCTACTGCTGCCACTGCTGCTGCTTCTGTTGCTGCTGCTTCTGCTTCTGTTGCTGCTGCTGCTGCTGGATCTTCTTCTTGTGCTGCTGCTTCTCCTGCTGCTTCTCTGTTTCTGATTCTTTTCCTGTTGCTTCTTCTGCTGCATCTGCTGCTCCTCCTGCTGCTCCTCCTGCTGCTCCTCCTGCTGCTCCTTCTGCTGCTGCTGCTGCTGCTGCTGCTGCTGCTGCTGTTTGATTGTTTAGGCTCGTGCAGGCATCGGCTTAGTATCGGAGTGTCATTCCACCCGCCTCGAACCCAAAGGGCAACCACCGCGAGTTTGCAACTTTGAAGAGGAGGTCAGACTTTTTTGTCTTTGTTTGTTTGTTTATTTATTTATTTATTATTTATTTATTTATTTATTGTTTGTTTGTTTATTTGTTTATTTATTGTTTGTTTGTTTATTTATTTAGTATTTGTCTGTTTGTTTATTTATTTAGTATTTGTCTGCTTGTTTATTTATTTATTACTTGTTTGTCTGTTTGTCTGTTTATTATTTATTTATTTATTTATTTATTTATTGTTTAGTATTTGTTTCCTTATTTATTATTTGTTTGTTTGTTTGTTTGTTTGTTTGTTTGTTTGTTTGTTTGTTTGTTTTACTACTTTGCTGGTTTCTTAATGTCTTTCTTTTCTTTTCTTTTTCTTTTTTTTCTGCATGCATGCATGCATGCATGCACTGTATTGTGTCTTGTTTATAGTTGCAGTCTGTCTTTCTTTCTTTTTTCGTTTTTGTTTTTCTTATAGTACTCATTAAGTTCTTAAAATATAATAAATATATTATATTGTATATTCACTACATAGGTATATACATATATATATATATGTATACATATATATATAATATATATATGCATATCTATATATAAAGCTTTGTGTGCTTTGTTTATTGTTTGTTTGCTCAGCTGTGGATATCTCACGAAGACGAGCAAAGAGGCATTCACCTCAGCATATTAGAAAAAACAAAAGACGACAAATATAAAATCTTCGCAACGTCAGGAGTCTTGCCTCTTCAAACTGTCTCTGTAAGTCTTTCTTGGGGTGTACACACAGACACTTCAATTCTGCATGCATGCATGCATATATATATATATATAGATATATATATTAATATATTATGTGTAATATTGTATATTGTATACAGTTTTATTTTAAATATTATATATATATATAATGTTTAAAATAAAAACTGTATTCTAATATATGCTCTTCTTATTGTATATCTTCTGTATCTTCTATATATTAAATATACTACATATATATATTTTATATATTAGTAGTGTTTGTTTATATGTCTCCTTTCTTCAACTGTCTCCTTTATATAATTTTTCCTGTATATCATTTCTTCTTTTCTTTCTTTTCTCTCATTTAAAGGATGTCCCTTTTTTACTGTCTCCTTTCTACTGTCTGTCTCCTCTTCATCTGTTTGTCTTCTTTCTACTGTCTGTCTCCTTTCTACTGTCTCCTCTCTACTGTCTCTTTTTTACTGTCTCCTTTCTACCATCTCTTTTCTACTGTCTGTCTCTTTTCTACTATCTGTCTCCTTTCTGCTGTCTGTCTCTTTTTTACTGTCTCCTTTCTACTATCTCTCTTATACTGTCTGTCTCCTTTCTGCTGTCTGTCTCTTTTTACTGTCTCCTTTCTACTATCTCTCTTATACTGTCTGTCTCTTTTCACTGTCTGTCTCCTTTTTCACTATCTGTCTCCTTTCTGCTCTTTGTCTCTTTTTACTGTCTGTCTCTTTTCTTTTTCACTATCTGTCTCCTTTCTGTTGTCTGTCTCTTTTTTACTGTCTCCTTTTTACTATCTCGTTTCTACTGTCTGTCTCTTTTCCTTTTTACTGTCTGTCTCCTTTTTCACTATCTGTCTCCTTTC